GGAAGAAGAAATGAAAGAGGAAAAGAAGAGTTCTAGATAACTCTTCACATCCCACGTGTCTACTCTTAATAAGGGAAAGAAAAATATCTTTTAAAACTAATTACCATAATGCCCTTTACTTATTCCATAATTATGATTTAATTCAATACTGAAATAGTCCTATTTAAATTCTTGAACTTATCAATTTCCTTAAATTGATCCTCAAATTCCAAAAATTCTCATTTTAGGCACTAACCCGAATTTTGGGATATTACAAGAGAGGCACACACATTTTGATTTTATAGGAACTGAAGTAAAACCAACAATGAGATCAATCAATTAAAAGTAATCCACATCCATAAGACCCGCAAAACTGCTTCAAATTTTAAACTTCAAACGTAATCTCTAAATTATTTATAATGCAGAAAACCCAAAACAACCGGGGAGGGGGTATTACTGTTAAAGAAATTGTGGGAAGTTTCATCCATACAATCGATACATACCTCTATAGTACTCGCCGGTGATGGCACGACGATGGGACCGATGACGTGAATGTTGGACGATGGGACCGATTTGCGTGAGGGAGAGCTGATGGAGGGTTTACGAAGAGAATAAGGATCGGGTTTCAATCGGGAAATTTAGGGATTTTAAACTATATAATTGTACTCTATAGTCGCGTTTTCTAATAAACGCCACTAATGTCGAAATCATTTGCGGCATTTGTGTTCAAAAAATGCCACTAACATATGCCTATTTATCGGCATTTTCATAAAATCGTTGCTAAAGTTCTATTATATTGCGGCATTTGTATAAAAACGCCGCTATAGATTATATCTACTGCGGCGTTTGTACAAAAATACCGCTAAAGTTCTATTATATTGTGGTGTTTGTATAAAAACGCTGCAATAGATATAATCTACTAGGGTGTTTGTACAAAAACGCCGTTAAAGTGCTATCCTTGTAACGGTGTTTTTTTGGAAAAACGCCGCTATGGATTACCTTATTGCGGCGTTTTTGGATACAAACGCCGCTAATTTCATTAAATTGTATAAGATTAATTGATTTTAAATATTTTATTTTTTCTCTACATAAACTTAATTTACTATCATATAGCTTTATTTAATTAAAAACAACCATAGATTTTAATTAAGACACACGTTATGCATACAAATACTTAACAACAAAATACATTCAAATTTAGAAACATTAAAATATGCATTAATAGTCTTAACCATATTGTTCACTAGAATTTAGTCTTCATTGCTCCTTCGTGGGGAAAGGACGTAAGAAAGCTATTTTCCTTGTTTGACGACACATCGTTAAGTTTTTCCTCTGTGAAAACTCTATATGGAGAAACTCTTCATCCATTTCACCAAATAAATCCCCTACCTCCGGTTCACCAAGAATACTCCTTGCGCGCTTCAGTGCTTCACTTGAAACAGATAACGACCTTCCACCTACAATATGAAACTTGATTTGAGTTGGCTTGGGAACAAAATCAAACATAAAAAAAATTAAATAGATGATAGAAACGTTTACTTGGACTAACAATAAAGGAAACATCGTCTTCATTGAGGATAGTTATTGCTTTTGCAATTGAAGATTCTTTCAACGCCACAAAGTTACCAAATTTGGCTCTATCATCGTTCTCAATAAGCTTTGAACATTCTATATGTGTGTGATCTATTAAATTTTACAGTAAAAAAAATATAGCGCCGGAAACTTTCAGCGATTAATTATTACCTTTATTTAGGAGATCAACCATAGAAGGGTGTTTTACAATAGGAGGGTCTTTCGGGTCATCATCGAGTTTCAATGGCAAGTTCGGACTGATAGCCTCCCAACGATAATTTGATCCATCGTCAGAGCAAAGACGCCACGTGGACATTTCGATGATAATTTTTCTTACTGAATGCAACACATGCTCTTTGTACCACAACCATTTGTTCACGTTTTCAAAAGCTATTAATTTCCTATTCGGAAGCTATTATTCTTCTATTTGAAAGTAGAAAAACAATGCTCCCAATTAGCAGTAAACCAATAAAAAAATATGTATATATTCTTTTCCTATTCGAAAGCTTTTATTTTTCTCCATTACGTTAGCTTTCTGGGTTTCCCCATTTTCAGAATACCAAGAAAAATTAAATGAAAAAGTTCAGTAGTGAGAGAAGGGATCAAACCGTGCAATCGTGAGATAATTGTTCGTCGGTGAGAGGGCCGATTTGGTCGCCAGGACAGACAGAAGATGACGTCGCCTGGAATCGTCTGAGGGTCATTGTTGTACTAGAGAAATCCCTTTTAGGGAAGGATCATTGAAATAATTTTAAGGATCATGCAGGAGAGAAGAGTAAAGCATATATTGACCATTTGGAGGCATTTTTTAAAAAAAGCAATCATAGTACATGTTTTTGCGGCGTTTTTATAAAAATGCCACTATAAACAAACATATTGCGACGTTTTTACTATAAACGCCGCTAAATTATTACTCTATTGCGGCGTTTTTACACAAACGCCGCTAAATTATTACTCTACAGCGGCGTTTGTTTGATAAACGCCGCTAAATTACCACTCTGTTGCGCGTTTGTTAGAAAAACGCCACTATAAACGACCCTGTTCCGGCGTTTGATCTACAAACGCCGCTATATTTCCACTCTATTACGGTGTTTCTTGAAAAAACGCCGCTAAAGTATCATTTTGTAGCGTTTGGATTGTAAACGCCGCTACATGCTTAAATTTTGTGGCATTTACCCTAAAATGCCGCAAAAAAAGGCCGCTACAGAACACATTTGCTGTAGTGACGAGAAATTTTGTTCTAACTTCACGTTACCAATAATAGGATGAGACCGGTTCGATTTTGTTCTAACTTAAGTGTTTATATCGACTGACTTTATGCTTTTATATCATTAAGCATTTAGATCGATTAAAACAAATTACTTTAACGGTAAAGTACACAAATGGTCCCCTGGGTATGAGGTGTTAATTTGTTGAGTCAATCGACTATTAAAAGTTACAAAATAATCTCCTGATTATATGGGTTGTTTTTTTAGTTCCCTGACTATTAAAAGTTATAAAATGGTCACCTGACTATTCATATGTTTCAAACTCGTATTTTTCCGTTAAAAAATGACGACAATTTAAACTGGATGTTGACTTGTTGATTGAGATATGATAAAATCTTATCTCAAAATCATTTCAGTTGTATTTTGTGGATCAACTCTCCGTTTATTTTATGCTATGGAGCAAGTGCTTGAAAGTAATGTCAGTATCAATATACATCATTAAAATATGATTTTATCATAAAATCAACAACCGTATTGCCTTCGCGTCTGATGAGCTTGAATTCTATCGACCAAGATTTGTCATAGAGAGCAGCGATTGCACGTACAACGGTAAAAGGACTCTTGTTGGAAGGTGGAGAAAGAAGCTTTATCGTATCCGCATTATCATTCTGAATAATGATACGTTCAAAACCATGATCCCAGGCGAGATGCAGACCCTCGAAAACACTCCATAATTCGGCATTGAGGACGGAGGATATGCTTAGATTCCTCGAAAACGACATAATGTTGTGGCCTTCATGATCTCTAATACAACCTCCTATAGAACCATAGGCTGTAATACAAGAGACAGCAGCGTCAATATTAATGCTGATCCATCCGGGGTTAGGAGGTTGCCAAGATATCAACTCCGGCAATGGAGAGAGTTCAATAAGTTGGGATCCGCAGAATGATTACAGAGTTTAGTCCAATATAAACTTTGTTGTAGAAGAGCTTGAATATCCATCTTGCTATTACAGAAAACTAAGCCATTTCTTCTTTTCCAGCATTGCCAGATAATGGAGGCGAACCAGCGACACCAAGAACCATAAGTTGCATGGCAGAGGCGATTGCAGGAGATCCCATGAAGGATCCAAGCTTGCAAAGGTAATTGGAAAAAATCATTTACAATAAGCTCTTGAGGGAGAGCAGTCCAGAGGCTGCGAATAGCTGAGAAATCTCGAAAAATATGGATTAGAGATTCCTCATGAGCACCACAAACATGATAAGGGCATCAATGGTGAGGTGACAATCAGCTCGGTTGGCATTAGACAGAAGTTGATTCTGCACAGCAAGCCACGAAGTCTCTCAGGAATTTTTAGATTCCAAATTGTTTTCCAAATCGGATTAGTAGGTTGCCAACTATTTTTTAAAGATCGATGAACGTAAGCACTGTTAACCGAGAAGGTATGGATCGAACCTTCATTCACACAAAAATAATTATATTTATTAAAATAAAAAAATTATAATTTCTAGACGTCGGAACATCTCCTCTGTGGCAATCAATCATTCATAACTCGAAAGTCGCTAACTCACAATAGAAAAACCGCCAAACCCCGGCAGAGGGTTTATGCAACGGTGGCCAAATTAGCAAAGTTCACATTTCTTATTTCTCTGCAATTCCTCAGTCATCGGAAATGGAGACGGCAAGACTCCGTTTGGTGTTCGATGATCCGTACATTCTCAGCAAGTCGCAGGAGAAACAAGGCCTAAAACGAAGCTGGTTTCTCCTTAAACCCCAGCATCAAACAATCTTCGATCTTACCTCTGATCTTCTCTGCATTTTCGACCTCCGTAAATCTTGCCCGAACGGCCTCATCCTCTGCGCAAGTCTCTCTATCCATCTCACACTGTCATATATTGCCTTGTCACGCTATTAATTTTTCATTGCAGATGGATGGCTTCGCTTTGCCTCCTTTCGAATCGGCTAGTATTTTAAAAGATAAAGATATAGTCAGGTTAGTGTTTTTTACTCTTGTAATTTGTGCATGCTTTATTTTGTATAGTTACTCTTTGTTTATTATGAAAACAGTGTGAAGAAGAAAGGAAGGAAAACGACTGAGATTATCAAGGCTGCTAATGATTTTAATTCTTTGGAAGATTTCGAAATTGTAGAACGACTGCCTGTGGATACGGGTGTCAAGCTTCTAGCTAATGCCGAATTTGATAAGGAAACTGGGGGATATGAAAGCAAATCGGAAGAAGATGAACAATAACGTGTATCATTGGAGAATCAGCCTCAAATTGAAAGCACTCCTATCAAAAATATTGTTTAGAAGAAAAGAAAGGCTCGGGATAAACTTCCCCGTTCGAGGCAAGTTACTTTATACAATCACATTAAACCTTCTTATTTTACTTGGTTTGTCAGGTGCCTGCACTAGTAATTGCTTATCATTTTTAGTTTTGACAGTATGTTACATTTATTTTCAGGAAGAATAAAAGCAAATTGGCTGGTGCTGAGAAATCTCCGGTTTCTGGAGATGATGGAATTGATGTTCATCCAAAGAAAAGAAAAAGCTCTCATAAACAAAAGGTTGTCGCCAATGAAAAGGTTGTTGAGAAGGACAAGGCAGTTGACATACAGGGAGAACCAGAGAACTCAAGTGGCCCTGAAATTGATGAAAGTACTGATGATGAAACCAAGTTGGGGAGGTAATATCTGTCTTGACAATGTAGGTGATTACAACATATCTTACGGGAGAAAGAGAGATTTAAATAATGTTTGGAATTTATATACCTTATTTTGGTTTTGGTTCATCGTTTGTGCAAAATAATTCTCTTTCAGCCTTGTTGACTGGTATTTCTTCATTTGCTTGTTTCTGCTTTACAGGTCCTCCCAGCTTCAAAACACCGATAAAGAGAGTGCTGATGAACCTACGACAACTACTGAAGTTAAAAAGGTTATTTATTGACTTTATTGTTTTGAATGGAATGAATTAGGAGTTTCTTGTAAGTTTCATCAATGTCGGAGATGGTATCGTGTCTCTTAGAAAATTGATTTATGAACATGTGTCCATGAAGAGTCAGTGTCATTGTTGGTAAGATCAATAAACCCAAGCCATGCAGCTACCTAATGCATGCATCCATGTCACGTAACATAGTTAGATGTTGATAATTAATGTTCCTGGCTCAGAATTTAGAATTGTACTTTCTTAATTGCTTGATAATATCGTAACTTTCAGTTTTGTCAACTGATCTTGGTGGCCTTTTTGCTTTATCCCATATTCCAGTTCTAACACATCCAATCCTTCCGTTTTATTTCTTACCGTCCAGCTTCCTAGTAGAAGTGCACGGCGTAAAAAGGCTAAAAGGAGATGGTTGAGGGAGCAGGCTAAAATTGAAAAGGACTTTAGGTAATATAGTCTTTAGAAATTTCGTAAAGTTATTTTGGGCCTTTTAAGGTCAAGATTTTTTATCTTTGGACAAGCGGTTCTAGCAATAAAGAAATAATGCCTACGTATAAATGATTAAAGTTGACAATTCAGAATTTGCTTGCATACCATAGATTGATGGACAATTAATACGCTTTCTTTGGTTTTATATGATTATGAGCATACTATACATGGACGTAATTGAGAGTTGGTGTGATTTCTTGTTTATAGTAAGATGAAGAGTAAAGGTTACAAGTTACATATTCTAGTACATGAGTGCATGCAGACATTTGTGTGTGATATTTCTTACACTGTTTGGTAAGCCATAAAATCTGTAAACTAATGAAGCATATGTATGGTTTGTTATATACCTTTAGAAAAAAGAAACTCCTACATCATTGACTTCGATGATAATTATGTTTGATCTGATTTGCAGCTGCATGAAAAAGACGACCAGTAATCACCTTCAAAAGAAAATATCAAAATTTCAGAAGACTGTGGACATCCAATCAGCAATAATGATGTCAAGGATAATGTGTTACCAATATTAGTAAGGCCAGGACATATTCGCTTTGAGCCCTTTGAAGAAGGTCTTGTTTCTCTCTCTTTCTAGTTCTCGAGACTTAGCTGGGTGATATTAGTGATCAGCAATCTGGATTTACAACATAAAGCTTGAGAAATGATTTACAATCAGTCTGACCTGTGTTCTTGTTTTCCCGAAGATGCAGAGCAAGCTGTCCAAGAAAGTCAGATTTCAGTGGTATGCTCTTCTTTTGTAGTTTGTGAACTTTGCCACGTCTCTCTCCCTTTTTCCCCTTTTTCGTGAAATTGCTTTGAGGAGGTGTAGTATCGAGGGAATTGGGGGTCAGAGTTAGGGTGGCACAGAGATTATTTCCATTATATGGTGATCATATCTTAAAAGAAGGGAAGGGGAGGGAGGGGTTGGTTCGAGGTGAAGGTGTTATTTTGGTTATATCCTACTAGCTTTTCTGTATTTCTTCTTTACATATTTCCTTTCTTTTCAGAAAACCTTTCAATGGAATGGAATAACCAGCAAGAAGAAGGGTAAAAAATGGGGTATGGAGAAAACTCCTTGTATGAAATGGAATGGTGACGGTTTTAGCCAATTGAGTTCTGAAATGGTGGACGTTAAAGAAAACGCCACTGTGACTGATTGACATGGACTTTGATAAGCTTACACCCTATTCTGGCTTGCCTAAGGTATATTTTGTTTTTTTTCCATATATTTATTTTGTATTAATATTCTTCAGGGATAGAAGCATTTTTTCCTTTTTTTAAATATATATTTTTGCAGGAGGGAGATTTAGTTGCATATCGTTTAGTTGAGCTATCATCAACTTGGACCCATGAGCTTTGCTCCTTCCGAGTAATGCTCTTTTCTAATTTTAGTTGTTTTATTGTTCCTAATCTTATTGGCATTGAATTTTGTGTTTACATAATTATGCTTATAGGTTGGAGAAATATCACAATATGACGCTGAATCCAGCAGGATAAAGCTATTACCAGTGCCAGGATATCCAAATGCTTCGGAGAAGAAAATAGATCAGGAGGTTTCTGAACTACCAGATACATCTCTGTACGGAGAAGATGAGTCATTAGAGATATGCGACTGGAATTATATATTCCTTATTTGATCAGGGATTCTTTTGTTTCCCTGTGCCTCTGAAATAGGTAACAGTATTCAGAGACTTGTCGAATCCTTCGCCTTGCATTGTGCAACATGTTCTCTCAAATATTATAGTTACGCTTTTGAAAAATTTCCATTCATGTTGATAATTCCTTTGTTAATCTGTGTACTCTGTTCTTTTGACAACTTATATATTGTAGCCTGTGAAGCAGGTAGTCAGCGTGCTACATGTTTTCTCATGCGTTATAGTGATTCTTATGGAAAATTTTCATGCATGTTGAATGACTATTTGGACAAGTCAAACTCTCATTCAAAGTTACTGGATCAGGAATGCATTTAATTATAGAACTACAGCATCGTAGGATTCACATATCCTGTAATTCATCTGTTGCAAAAATACATACCAGGGCTGAGATCTAGCTGCTGTTTTGTTTTTGTTGCTTTTGTGCTTTCTTCCGGAGTGCAGAAAGCTAACAAGAGAAGCGTTTTTTTTTTCTTTATTTTCTCCAGATTGATTATTCCTCTCTAATTGATGTCCACCTTGTCAAGCATGGAAATCTGAATACCACAAAAGCAATTGCTGATAGCAGCAATGAGAATTTTGCACAGGATCAGGATGTTTTAACAAGACAATCAAATGGTAACAAGTGGCCTCTGCCTCAGCCACACCTCCTGCACAAGGTATGGATAATTCTCATCGTGTTAAATATCAGGTTATTGAATCGACAACTCACATAACGTTTTCATATTTTTCTAATGGTGCAGTAAATGTATGGGACGAAATTAGCGAGGGTTTGAGTGCAAAGAAGGCAGAGCTCTCTAAAGAGGATGGTTGGAGTCAATCAGATATTTCAGGTAGGAGCACCTGGTCATATAGGCCCCTGAGATGCAGTGCCCTTGGCCCCTCTATGGCCTTAAAAGCTCAGAATGGGATCTGAAGAATAGCACCAGCATCAGTTTTAGGTGTATTTCCTCTGTTTTTGAACCTTCGAAAGAGGAGAGTAAGGCAATTTTGTTTGGCTTTCGCTTTTGCTTTCCCATGTAAACAAATGTTTCAGGTGCCATCAAAAGGTAATGAGTTCTGTATTTTTTGCTGTTAGACAGGCAACTTGCTGGAAACTCTTGATTTAATCCAGTTTTATATGTTTTATTAAACAATCACCTCAAATTTATGTTCTATTTTGGTAGATAATGCAAATAAAGGAGACACGTTCCTATACAAACAACAAAGGAACAACTTCACTGCAACTGAAGAGATATGATCTCAAAACTACTTATTGCAACTTGAGCATTTATTTCCAGTTCCTATATCACTAGTGTACAACAGGGCTTTGATTTCTTTACATGTTTTGTTAAACAAATACCTCCGTTGTTATTGACATACGCTGAACAAGCAGATAGCAATCACATTACACTGCCTGGGCTGCAATTTCTACATTTCCTACATTCGTCTAGGGTGTTCGAGAAAGATCATTACCAACCCCTTCAAAGAGACCTCACATCATGGTAGACCAGTTCAGCCTTTCGGAATGATAAAACTGTCGAAAAGGTTCAGGAACTGCTCCGGCTCCTCGCCTTCTCGAACTATCTGCATGTCGAGTAAAATATCCCCGTTAAATTTACTTGTCTAGCTCATACACATTAGGTAATAACATGAAACCATGGCAGTAAAACAGTAAACCAACCTACCTGTATAGAGGCATTGAGAGGAAAATCCATTTTATTAAGAAAGTCGCGCCCGATAGATTCCCAGTCCCTGTGTGTGCCATCACAGCTTAAAAGTTGACTCTGCTCTTCTTCACTCCCCACTTTACGGCCTAGCCAGACATATAAAACACTAGAATGGTCACTTACACCCGAGCTCGATTCGGAAGCCAACAACATATATGTTGCTGTGGACTCGAGGATGTGAGATCGATCCATCTTGACGTTATTGAGTGAAGGCCACTGATACAACTGATGCAGAGCCGAAGTGATTACTCCGGTAGGTTGAGCATGAAATTCTCCATATTCCTTTTTATGTTCAGTTCGACTATGTGACTCGATACTAGCAACAGCTTCAACATCTAACATTAACTCTTCTCTATTATCCTCAGGTTCATATTCAGTACGATCTAGGTCATTCATTATAGTATCATCCAAGTCGGGCAGAGAAAAGGACCAAGACTTTACGAGTTTACGAGGGACTGGTGCATCCGCTGATGGTAACCACATGCGTGGTGGAGGATGACTCCCCCTGCGCTCTGCAAGTGAGGGTGAAGTACCTTTACAGGGCAGGCAAGGATTTTCGACTCTGAAAGTAAGACCGGAAGAAAACGACTTTTTCAATGATGGGAAACTTTCTTTATATGGTAAAAAAGAATTCACTGTTGAGGAATGTTTGATTGAAGACAGATCAGTGGCTTCCAGGCCAGAAGGCGAAGGCTGTTGAGAAGACCAATTCGAGGATGAGGGTGAAAAAGTAAACGAACTGGCATAGTCAGATGTTGAAGGTGAAAGTGAAGGAGATTTGGAACTGAATTTCGAGCTGCTGGCTGCAAAACAAGAAAAGGAATTCGGTGAACCGCAAGGAGAACTCGGTTCCAATGGAGAACCGAAAGGAGTGACTAACTGTTCTTCTTCATCACAAGGATCTTTACTCTGAATCAAGTTGCGATATGGGGAACAATCAATGGAATCTGGTGAACCACATGGAATGATCGACGATGACTGTTCTTCTTCATCACAAGGATCTTTACTCTGAATCAAGTTGCGATATGGGGAACAATCAAAGGAATCTGGTGAACCACATGGAATGATCGACGATGACGATGGAGATGAAAACGAAACAGTATTTTCCTTGTCCTTACAAGTGTCTATAACCACATCTGATCTATCATTGACTGGAGTCAAGTTACAACCCAGTTTGGATGATTTTACAAACTCTTTCATGATTCCACTAGCAAACTTCTGTCTTAGCCTACCCCATCCATTTTCTCTCGCAGGAAGGCAAGTTTCAGATTCCGTGTTCGACACCGAAAAAGGTGGAACAACTCCACCAGCAAGAGCTTTATGGTAAAGTTCAAAATCCAAATCATAATCATCTACCTTCCTTTGACCGACATAAATTTCGCTTACTGCAACCGTGTCATCCTTGGAAGCCAACTTAACTACCTTCCTGCCCTCTGCGCTGTTGCAACCATCTGCCGAGAGCTGTCCACTAGCAAGGGCATCCCAGAATTCCAAAGGCTCATCCCCTTCTCTCACAGTTAAAAAGGGATCTTTTGCCTGTTCATACCGAATAACCTGATTGGCAGCCGATGCAGCGCTATTCGACATCACATAGCTGCATCTCTTTCCAACCCAAACGTAAACAGCACAGGGAACATGCACAACAAACGCCCCACGAGAGTCGAGTGCGTGTTTACTTGGATGATCTACCATTTTCGGCACAAGATGAAGAGCGTCATACGGGGAATGTGGAGCCATCCTATACATCCTAAGCACAGAATTCGGGCTAGCAGGGACAGCATGAACCCTCTTCTGGCACTGCAAAAGTTGGAAGGCAAACCCTGTATTCGGATTCGTCACCCCTCGAGCCGCCTTCACATACTGAAACGCATCCTCGAAGCTCTGGCCTTCCCTCCACATGAGATACGCAATAACCAGAGAAGACGATCTCGAAACCCCCTGGCAGCAGTGCACCAGCACCTTCCCGCCTTGCTCCCGTACATCTTCAAAGTAATCGAAAACATCATAGAGAATGCTGGTGATGTCCTCGGACGGGGTATCTTGTAACCAAAGTGTTTTGTAAACAAGATCATGCTTGAAATACTCGGGACAAACGAAGCCAACGCAGTTTAAAACATGAGTAATCCCATTTGTCCTCAGGATTTCCCTGTTCTTAGCAACAGCATCACTCCCTAAATAAACATGTTCAGCTATCCTGGAACACTCTTTATCAAAGAAAGCCAGCTTATCTTTCCTCAACAGAAACTCCCTATTGGAACCAGGATTGTCAAGGGGCTTAACCGATGCCCTCGGAGTCTGGGGATTAGGCCAAACACCGAGATCATCGGAACCGGCTTTCGGCCACTCTTCTACCGGCCTTCTTGTTATAGATAGCGGAGGCAAACAAGACCTCCCCTTCGCGTTCATAGGCGGTTTAGGGTGAGGCTTTCCCGGTGAACGGTCGTTCCAAGAGACCGACCGCAGATACGGCTTACGAGCAGCAACACCGGCAGCTGCCTTGGCATGCCGGTCTTTTTCTTCTTCGCTTAACATATCAAATAACCAACAAAAAAGAAAAAAAGGAGAATTCAAACTAAAATTCCAACAAATGAAATGACACCCATTAAAGGATGGTTCCAGGAAAGTGCATTCAAAATGAAAAATATATAGCGATGTTGACAATGAAGAAAAGAAGACAAATTTCTACCAAAACCCCTTGACTCTTCTTTCTCATTCTTTGTTTAATATATTTTTTCTTCTAAGTAGATATACAAATTGAAAGAATCAAATTCAAATACGAATATGACCGAGTAAAACTTGAAGCTGCTAGTCTTACTTGTTCATTTACCAATCAAAATCCAACTGCCAAATACAGAAACAACAAGGAGAAATAATATATACATAATTTTGTTTATTTTTATTTTAATGTAGCTGAGACAGCCTGAGATTGTTGAACATAGAATTACCTGAAGTCCACCCTGGAAGAAAAATATAAAACTGCTAATTTACTACCAAAAAAATAGTGAGTCGGATGGGACGAGTTATATGAAATAGCCACTGGGAGAAGAGTTTGTTTGATTTACGGTATTATACGTACGTCCGTATTATATTTATTTACTTATTTTACTGAATGTATTCAGGGACGGTATAGATTCGGTAGAGCTGATTTTTTTTATCTGTATCCTATCGTAAAATCTATTTTTTTTTATCAGAATTTGGTTTGACCTGGTATTTGATGATTTTTTATCCAATTCGAATTTTTGAATTAAAATTCATTTTCAACCCAAAACAAATATTTTTTTTGTCATTTTTATTAAAAAATTATAAAGAGAGACGTTATAATAATTATTTTTTTATTCGATAAAATAGAGAGGTAACGGAGAGTAATTAGAGTTAATTGCATCATATTTTCTCAAATATCATTTTAAATTATCCCTAAACTTTTCAATATTTTAATTTCATCCCTGAACTATGACTATCATTTTAAATTAGTCCTCAAACTTTTGAACATTTCAATTTCATCCTCAAACTTTTTGAGCATTCCAATTTTATCCCAAATTATATGCATAAAGTAATCACATCCATCGTTAGTAGAATCGTTAGGCCAAGTTATATTATTACATGTTTGGAAAAAAATTAGGTTAAACTATGTTGAAACTAATTAAATATCCGGATGAATTTGGGGATGAAATTAGAAGATTCAAAAGTTTAGGGATCAATTTAGAAAAAGGGTCATAGTTTAGGGATGAAATTGAAATAATCAAAAGTTTAAAGAATAATTTAAAAATGAGAGTTATAATTTGGGGACATGTGATGCAATTAAATCTAATAACTATCTTTAAACATGTAGAGAAGAATCATACTATCATTTCACGTCAAATATTTTTCATCACAAGACTTTCTCTTTCAGGAAATTTCATATAATCTTTCAAATAACTTCATAAAATATGACCAAGTGAAAACATGTAAAATCGGAATCTCGTTCTCATCTTTAGATAAATTATTATTTTAAAAATTTAAATTAATAAAGTGTTATCATGTTTAAAGTTTGTTGTAGAGATGACACAACTAAATATAATATTCGTTTAGGGTTTTTTTTTTTTGTTGCTGAAGAAATTATAATTTTTGTATTACGGAGACGACACAACCTCTAGCATATATAATCATCGACTCATATAAAGTGAATTTGCAAGATCAATGGTACGACTGCATGTTCTTTCAAATAATCAAGTATTTTTGTTCCCACTCCATAGCTGCATGTTTATATGTCTGTGATGATTGTAAAGGATGACATATACATACTTTCATAGATCTACAAAATAATAAAACTATTCATTTGTACTTTATATTTTCAATACATGCTTTGTTCAAATAATATATTTTTATTTACAACAATTCATAAACATATGATTATAAAAAAAAATCAAACTGCAATTCATTTATTTATTTTTAAAAATTTTATATTTTTATTTCATCAATAAGATAATATTCGATGTTGATCATTAGTGTTATATAAGATAAATATTTACCTAATCAACAACTTTTCTAAAATAAGACTGACATCTTTATCTTATACAGTATAAAATAATATTATTTTAATAAAAATGTTAAATTAGAAAAAACAAAATGTATTTGTTTTGGTTAGAAAAACTCATAAACCAATGATTATAAAAATTAGAAAACGCTTTTCAGACCACAAAAGAAACAACTTTGAGTTTTTCTTAAAGACGGTTAGTTGAGTAATAATAAGTAGTAACAGATTTAAAAATATTTTTTAAAGTTAATATATATATATTAATAATATTTTTTATGAGATAGATATAAATAAAATTTAAGGATAGAGACTATTAATAAAATAAAAAATTAATATAAAGAAAGTTTGATTTCAAGATAAACACATACACACTCTAAAATAAACATACGTCCGTCGTTAATTGTCCCTTCAACAGCTGAATGAGGCAACGATGAGCTATGAGATTAACATAAACATCAATATGTCATTTCTTACTCTATCTTCTCACATGCCAACATTTCTATTCTCGAATTTATATACCATATTCGTAAAATGGTTTTATATGTCGATATAAAATTTGAATAGTAAAAAATATTTTTTTTATAAAAAATTTAAGTTCGAATAGTTATATTTGTAGAATATATATAAATTGTTATGAATTGATATTTTGAATTCAACAATAATAAATTTATTCCTCTCGGTGAAATATGTAAAGTCTTATTAAACATTAAAATCAGGAATCAAACATGAATAAATTAAGTTACTATTCAAGGACAAAATTAAACGGAAGGTGAAAGGGCCTAAATCTTAGTTTAATTCAAAATTAAACCCTTCTCATTTTAAATGTTATTCAGATTAAATTTTAATTTCTTTACTTTTATTTATTTATGAACCATACCTAGATATGTATTTTTTCTAAAATATCAATAAAATATGATTTTAATATTATTTTAAAACTAAAATTTAGTCCATATATTTTTACGGAATTGAGTCTATGTACTAACTTTATTTGAAAATCTAGATTTTTTTTCTCTTATTTTTTTAATTTTATGATTAATTTCTAATATGACATCTATAAAAGTTCAAAAAGTTTTTCCTTTGTGTTTACAATTTTATTTTATCAATTTGACATATAAAAACCTATAAACAAAAATGATGGAAAAACTATATTATTTAACGGGCGATTTTTTTATTTATTTTGTAAGATCAATAAACGTATGTTGACTAAAAAATCTTTTACATTTTTCATAGCTGATATGTTTATAATTAACACTAAAAATTAACATAAATCTTTACCTTTATGCTTTAAAAATAATGTAATGTCAACCTTCACTTTTGAAAAACCTTTTTCAATTAAAAAAATTGTCAGTCTTTCATACCAAGCTCTAGGAGCTTGTTTTAAACCATAAAGCCTTTTTGTCAACTTAAGAACATGATCCAGAAATTTTGAATCTTCAAAACCTGGAGGTTGTTCCACATACACTTCTTCCTTTATAAAACCATTTAAAAATGCACTTTTAACATCCATTTGATATAATTTAAATTCATGAAAACATGCAAATGCTAATAACATTCTAATTGCTTCCATCCTAGCTACGGGAGCATATGTTTCATCATAGTCTATGCCCTCTTCTTGAGTATACCCTTGAGCAACAAGTCTAGCCTTGTTTCTCATTATATTACCACTCTCATCAAGCTTATTCCTAAATACCCATCTAGTACCTACAGTAGATTTATTACTAGGCCTTTCAACTAATGTCCATACTTTACTTCTCTCAAATTGATTTAATTCTTCTTGCATAGTCATAATCCAATGTTCATCTTTTAATGCTTCTTTAATATTCTTAGGCTCTATGCATGAAATAAATGCAACATAATTACAAATATTTCTAAGAGAAGATCGAGTTGTTACCCCTTTGGATGGATCACCTATAATCTCACCATCCTTGACATAGTTGTACTCTCTTGGATAAGATACTTCCCTTTCTTCAATGGTTGGATTCTCAAGAGGATCATGAGTTACCTCATCTTTTGTTTCTTCATTTGATGATGGTTCTTCAACGTCATGTCTAACTTTATTTGTATTTATAATACCTACATCATCATTCATACAAGAATCCTTCCTCGGAAGGGGATTATCATCGAAAACAACATGTATAGACTCTTCTACAACTAAATTTCTTTTATTAAATACTCGAAAAGCTTTAGAATTTAAGGAATAACCCAGAAAAATTCCTTAATCACTTTTAGCATCAAATTTGCCAAGGTTTTCTTTACTGTTGTTTAAAACAAAACATTTACATCCAAAAGGATGAAAATAGCTCATGTTAGGCTTTTTATTTTTGAAAATTTCATATGGAGTTTTCTTTAAAATAGGCCTAATCATTACTCGATTTACAATATAACAAGCGGTATTTGTGGCTTCCACCCAAAAATATTTTGGCAAATTATTTTCACAAAGCATGGTTCTAGCCATTTCTTCTAAAGTTCGATTTTTCCTCTCAACAACTCCATTTTGTTGAGGGGTTCTAGGTGCTGAAATGTTGTGACTAATACCATTAGAATTACAAAACTCAGTAAATCCAAGATTTTCAAATTCAGTGCCATGATCACTCCTAACACTAGTTATAGAGTAACCTTTATCGTTTTGGATTACTTTTGAAAACGTGATGAATTTTTCTAATGCTTCATCTTTAGTACTTAAGAATATAACCCAATTATATCTAGAATAGTCATCTACCAAGACAAATGCATATTGTTTTCCACCCAAGCTAGTAGTCCTAGTTGGCCCAAAAAGATCTATATGGATCAATTGTAATACTCTACTAGTTGATACGTCATTAATGGATTTAAAAGAAACTCGCTTTTGTTTTCCTTTAGCACAAGCATCACAAATTTTATCATTATCAAATTTAAGCTTAGGCAACCCTCGAACTAAATCACATTGAGTTAGTCGTTGCAAAACACTCATACTAGCATGTCCTAGTCTCCTATGCCATAACCAACTGTCATGTTCATCCTTAGCAACTAGGCACAAATTAGTCATATCAATAGAATCTAAATGCACCATGTATATGTTTCCTATTCTATGACCAACAAGCATAATCTGATTAGATGCAATGTCAATGACTTTACAACCATTAATATCAAACATGACATTGAATCCCTTATCACAAAATTGACTAATACTTAATAGATTATGCTTTAATCCATTCACATATAAAACATTCTTAATTTGTATGGAAGAG